TGAGCCAGCTGATGAGAAGACGTCTGAATCTGGTAACCGCCGGATGCTGCCTTACACGCGCACGTAATAAACGCCAGCTGCTGCCAGAAGCAAGTGTGCCAATTAGCGTCCTCATGACGCTCTAGCACAGTCTACATCAAAGAGTCTGTTTATTGGTGGGACCAGATTTAACACTAGGATGTGACTCATGGACGACTGGATTCACCGGCCTAAGCCCATCGTTGGTGGGCGGACAGGTACGGCGTCCGGAATTTGAACAGAAAATCCGGAATACTTCATAAACTACTGATTTTGCCGTGCGTCGGAACACAGGGTAGTCTCACGGTTATGAAGCAAAAGCAGACATTTCACTGACTCCTAAAAATAAATATAAAATTTATCCACTCATCCCAAATACAGGCCTAACAGAAATATGTCAAATGGTTCTGGAGATAAAACATAAGGATGGATGGATGGATGGATCTAATATCCTTATAGTCACTTCACCTTGTGCATACAGTACAAAACGTAAACTAAAATCTCGCATCTCATCCGCGAAGATTTCTAGTCCCCACAGTTTACAAAAACGCCCAACATCTATACGTTACCTCGATCAGGTACTGATGCAAGCTGACGGATTATCCGGCACGTATATCGAAAAACTGATTTCAAACGACGTTGGTTCATCAGCGTTATCAACTGACTAGGACAAAAACGCGCCACCTAGTCTTGAACTCTACACCGATGTCATAAAATTAAACACACGAAAACTTGTGGAGATCAGGCAACAGCCCTCCAAACACGTCCGCCACTGAGTGTTACAAAGACACAGACCCACGCTGAATGTCTCACCTGTGACACGCCATAATATTTGCCACTCTTTTTTGGTTGTATTTGTCTGAAACGTGAGGAAGGAACGGTCTGCAATCAGCAACAGACAGAATCACGGCAGCCTGACAAAGAAATAAAACAAGAACACGCAGCTTATAGTACAGTCCACGACTGTAATCTTGAGACTTGCACAGAATGCAATAAGTCCGGAGCGTTAAAGGCAGACGCTAGCTTTCCTCACCTCCTCCCCCGCAAGTCTCAAAATTACAGTCGTGGACTGTACGTACAACACCAAAATGGCCGCATAGCACAAGGCAGCAGAATACGAGAAACTTCTCGTGGGGTTGACCAGTCACCTACAGATGGCAGTATAGATCAGTTGGCCCATCCTCCCAACACAGAACGAAGACTGGTGTAATGAAATCAAAGACTGTCACAAATTCGCGAGAAAACCGCATATCAGTCATGAAAGATATTTTTGAGGTGGGCACTTTTGCGGGATGTTTCTTCTCGTAGAACGAGACCTTTTACACGTTTTAAATGTCTGTTACACGATTAAAGAGAACCATGGCCTTGAAATTAAATAAATAAATGAAACTAATCATCTCAGATACGTTTCTAGCGCATAGGGCCCTTGCAGCCCACTCCATAAAAATCTGCAAAAAAGAAACTGAGAACAAGAAAGCAAAATTCACTTACACCCGTAAATAAAATGACTTAATCCAAAATTAATTAAAAAATATATATACCTATACACATCATACCTGTTAACATGTGGATGGAAAGACGGGTATGGTGACACTAAGTCACTTGTTTTCGGTTCTCCAGACGTACCTCAAACACTGGCGATGGTGATCACGATTGGCCGAGCATGTAGCCCGGATCCAGGATGTATATTACGTTCAGGTCAAGAAATCGTTTGTAAACTGGCCCCTAGTATTCAGTGCCACCAACAGTGTTGAGCTAAATATTCCGTAATAATGTAAACGATTCTGACCGGGTACAATGGCGGACATTTCCGATGACCCTGACGAATCTTCGGGCTACAGTCAACCACAGAACACACAAGAAAACAACAAGCCCACGAGGCTGCTTGCCCTTCCATCAAGGAAGCCAGTGGGGATGATATCCTTAGTTTCCCGCGACAGCTTACATCCCGGAAACGATAATTTTTAATTTAATTCGTTACAAATGTTGAACTGGCAACGAACAAGAGGAAATGGGTCAAATGTCCTATCCAACAGATCTCTAATGATTTTCGTGTCAATTAACACTTCTGTACTGCATCAATTGTAAGGATGACTGAATGATAAGAGGGAA